TAGCAAAGGAAAAACCACTCTGGCACGGAGAAAGGGGCAGGGAGAGAGGCGCAGTCTCATGACGTCAGGGACATGCTGGCACAGTTTGCTCCCGCAGGAGCCTAGTTTGCGGCGGCTCTACAGAGAGAGGTCAACCCTCCTGTTCAGGGAGCTCCACTGGCTGCCGTTTATCTACCGAGCCCAATTTAAGGTGCAGGTGCTTACCTACAAAGCCCTGAACGGTTTGGGACCAGCCTACCTGCGTGACCGCATCTCCGTCTACGAACCCACGCGTTCACTTCGGTCATCTGGAGAGGCCCTGCTCGTGATCCCGCCTGCGTCGCAAGCGCGTCTGGTGGGGACACGAGACAGGGCCTTTTCCGTGGTGGCCCCCCGACTCTGGAACACCCTCCCCAAAGATCTTAGACAGGTCCCTACATTGGCAGTCTTCAGGAAGAACTTGAAGACCTGGCTGTTCCGATGTGCCTTCCCAGAATAGGAAACCTCCATTACCAAGTCCCACAAGCACTTTATTAAAGCCAAGATCGCCACACACTGCACACTGCACTTGCCCATAAGCCTCATTTCCACCTGTCACATCAGCACTTTTAATCCCTTGTACCCTTACTCTGGCCCGGCCCAGTTTTATTGTGTCTTAGTGGATTGTTCATTGCTTGTTGTTTTAGATTGCTTTAATTGTTTTTAATTTGCCTAGGTTTTGTATTGTTGTATTGTTTGTTGAGGCCTTGGCCTTTGTAAGCCGAATCGAGTCCTGCGGGAGATGCTAGCGGGGTACAAATAAAGTTTAATAATAATAATAATAATAATAATGATAATAATAATAATAATGGAATTGAACCAAATATGGCACACAGAACTCCCACGACGAACAGAAAATATATATATATATATTTATTTATTTTATTTACTTTATTTGTATACCGCACTCTCTCAGCCCGTAGGCGACTCAGTGCGGTTTACAACAAAACCAATATACAAAGTGCACAACATTAGCAATTAAAACAGTAACTAAGGCAACTACATCAATATAACAATACATCAGTACATCAATATAACATCAATACATCCATATAACTAATCCATCACGTCTCATCAGTAAAGTCATAATCCAATATCCTCGTCCATTATTCCAAGTTCCAAGATCAATCAATTAATTGCACTGCTTAATTAAATGCCTGTTCAAAGAGCCAGGTCTTCACTCTTCTCCTGAACGCCAGCAGGGAGGTGACCGATCTAATATCTGCGGGAAGGGCGTTCCACAGTCGAGGGGCCACCACTGAGAAGGCCCTGTCTCTCGTCCCCGCCAAAATACTGTTTGTTTACCATTGAAAATTACCTAGGGCCGCCTCTGCGAGCAGGCACCCCTCCACTGTACACGGAAAACTGGCCCTCCTTCTCAATGCGCCGGACTGGCTCCCATCGCAAATGGAGCGCATCCAGACAGCGTCATGGTTGAGCAAAAGCGCTCACATTCAGGGTGGGATTAACTCCTCAGCCTTTGATTTCCTTTGAACTATGACAAAATTATATTTCTCTTCTGATTTTCCAGGCGGCGGGAGTAGTGCCGGGTCCTTTCCCTCGCTCCCAACTCCTCCTAACTTAATTTGACAGCAAGGGCTTCGAGTACAAGGCACCCTTCAATGGGCGCTGTGTCTCGGATAATGGAAACGTCAGGGAAATGGCACGGCGTAATTGAGGGCGCTTGTTTGCTTCTATCCCGGGTGAACTCAGGCCGGCAAAGGCCAGGCAGTTGGGTTGGCCCAACTTGGAGAAGCCGTTGGCACAAGGCAGTCCGTTTCGTTGCGGAAAAGTAATTGGCAATCGGAAGCTGTATGCATATGTGCATACAATAAAAATAAAAATATACATTTAAAAAATCAACAACAATATCAAAACAATTATTAAAATGTATTGTCAAAGGCTTTCATGGCCAGAATCACTGGGTTGTTCTAGGTTTTTTTGGGCTATATGGCCATGTTCTAGAGGCATTCTCTCCTGACGTTTCGCCTGCATCTATGGCAA